AGAAACCCCTCCACTTTGTTTCCAGGTCCGGCTCTTCCTAATGCTGGTGTGCGTGGCGGTGGTCACGGTGCTGTACATCCTGCTGTGCTCCCATGTCTGCCTGCAGTTCTGCTGCTGGCCCCTGGGGCAGCAGGGCGGCCCCACGGCACCCACCATCCTCAGCTTCCAGGGGTACAGCCGTGTCCCCGACGGCAAGGTGTGTGGGGATGGGGCAGTTCTGGAGCTGGTGTGGGGCAGCTTCACTCACCCGTGTCTCAGTTTCCCCTTCCTTAGGGAAGAGCAGGCTGGGCTGCAGTGTGTCCGGCCGCTGCGGGAGGGAAGGGTTTTCCCACAGCCGCTGGAGCGAGCGCTGTGCCGCCGCTGCGCCATTGTCTCCAGCTCGGGGCAGATGCTGGGCTCACGCCTGGGAAAGGCCATCGATGGGCAGGAGTGTGTCCTGCGGATGAACCATGCCCCTACTGCCGGCTACGAGGAGGATGTGGGGGCACGGAGCACCATCCGGGTGGTGTCACACACCAGCGTCCCGCTGCTGCTGAGGAACCAGCCCTACTTCTTCCAGCAGTCCCAGGAGACCCTCTACATCATCTGGGGGCCAGCAAAGAAGATGAACAGGGAGAAAGTGGGCCCGACCTACCAGGCGCTGCTGAAGGTGATGGAGACGTACCCCCACCTGCAGATCTACACCCTGACCGAGGAGAAGATGACATATTGCGATGACGTCTTCCAGAACGAGACGGGGAAGAACAGGTACTGCTGGTTCCCAAGGAGCACCCATTGGGTACCCCTGCCATAGCACCCATCCCCCTTGTCGGGCACCCGTAGCCCAGCTGGGATGGCAGCACCGTGCCACCCACTCCAGCACGGCCGTGGTGCTTTGCAGGCTGAAGTCCGGCTCCTTCCTGAGCACGGGCTGGTTCACCATGATCCTGGCCATGGAGCTGTGTGAGCAGATCTGTGTCTTCGGCATGGTCAGCGACAGCTACTGCAGGTGCGCGGGGGGCGGCAGGGGTAGGCGTGGGGTGGTCCGGTGTCCCCCCGAGTCCCACACCCACCCCGTCCCCTCCCACCAGGGAGAAGAACCACTCGAGCGTGCCCTACCACTACTTCGAGAAGGGCCGGCTGGACGAGTGCAGGATGTACCTGGTGCATGAGCGAGCCCACCGTGCTGGGCACCGCTTCATCACCGAGAAAGCCATCTTCTCCCGCTGGGCCAAGAGGAGGAACATCATCTTCACCCACCCGTCCTGGGCAGGTGGTTAGGCTGCCAGCCATGGGGTGAGGCAGCAGGGACCCTCTCGTCCTGCAACGACGTGTCTCAGCTCTGCTGTTGCCACAGTTGAAAGCCTTTTGCCAAGCCCCGGAGTGGGGAGTGCAGCGCAGGCGGTGCCCCCCCCAGCCAGTGGGTGGGCTGGGACCCCCTATATCAGTGCACAGGGGACAGGAGCTGTGCCTGCCCAGATGGACCCAGGGCGACCACAAAGGTTTTCCACCCGCTCTACTGAGATGAATATTTAATGCAGGATTAAGTATTTGTGCTGCTGGGCTCCAGCATGACGGGGAATGAGAGCTCGGCCCTACCAAGGCCATGAGCTGGTGCCTCTCCCAGGGATGAAGCTCCACCACGGTCCTTGCCCCACTCATGCCCAAGACCTGGCGCTGGGGGGGGGTGCAGGGAGCTGAGTCCGGGCTCCCCCATCCTGCTGCCCTCTGCTGCTCTGCACCCGGGGCAGGTCCCTGCGGTCCCCTGCATGCCTCCAGCTGGGAAGCCCAGGGGCCACGTGCACCCCGGGGGCTCTGAGTTGCCTTGTCACAAGTGCCCTTGGATTCAGACCAAAGCAAACGTGGCCATTAAAACTGTTTTTTAACTCGGCGGTGCCCTGCTCTGTGCCCCTCGCAGCTGTGGTATGTGGGGACAGGGGACGGCAGCTGGTTGCAGGACTGCGGTGTCCTGCTCTCCTGCCAGGCTATAAATAAGAGGGGGAGGTGATGAGGGGGTAGAGCTGAGCCCGAGCATGGGGGAGGGTGCCAAAAACCTGCAGTTGAGATTGTTTGGGAACGAACGGCTGCGGCTCTGCAAGATGGGTGCTGGCCAGGCGTGGATTTCGTGCTGGGTCTGGGATCCTCAGCCCCACAGGGCTTCGCGCTGCCGGGCTGCAGGCAGGACAGCTGCCAGGTCCTGTGTCCCTGGAGAGACGGAGCACGCCATGGCCATGTTATGGGTCTTTGAACCCGTAACAGACGCCACGTGTTTGCGTGGGCCCAGTGCTGTCTGGGGGGGCGGGGGTGAGCAGGAGGGGCAGAGGGATCGGCGTTAGCTCCTTTTTCAACCGAGGCCAAGTGCTGGGGTGAAGTGAGGAG